TAACGGACCATTTTCTTAATATTTACAAAAAGAGACCATAAAACTAATACATTTTGAGTAAGGTAAGTAACAATTAATCCTTTATTAAAGGAATAACAAGTTAGGTTAAAATCAATGCTGCCATTCTGCTCAGTTAAATAATTAGTACTTGAAATTAAAATACAAATTGATTGATTTATTATATGGGACATATTTCGAAAACGGCCAGTAAAAATAATTAAAAAAATATCTTTTTTGATAGCCTGTATTTACGTACTTGATGTATTGTAATGTTTTTGACAAATAAATAGGACACGCAGCTTGAGAGTACACACACGACACGACACAAGAACTAACTAAACAACATACTACATAGACAAGTTCCGACAAGACAAAACATGGATTTAAATTTAAGGTGGGGATGAAAAATACTGATTTAATTACTAGAAAATAATTAAACACGGTTCTCAGTACTCGGGGGGCATTTATGAAAGTATTTACATACATTTTTCAAATACTAATTACTAATTATTTATAGAAAGTAATTGACGGTTCAATTATAAATACCATTCTTGAAAAAGTAGTTAAATACATCGTATTTAAATACCAAAAAGTACCTAATTTAATTCCTAAATACTTGCCCAGCTCTGGCAGTAGTCCTGTATTTAATTGAATCCGCAGCAAAACAAGGCATGAGTTACTTAGTAAGTTTATTTTTAACGGATTTATATCAACAAACAAAACTTTTCCTCAAATCTAAAATTATATAGAACACTTAAAAAATTAATAAACACTAGGAAAAAGATCAAAACTTTGCAACGGATTTTCTAAATGTTCTCCGTTCATTTAAATACATTTGCGAATATTCTTTAAAAAATGTCTTCTAACGCGAAAAAATATTCTCGATTTATTTTTAATAACTTCACCGTAATTTATTATTCCTTGTTGCAAATCATTAATATTTTTTACTGGCGTAGAATAGACCAAAGCCTTTAAGTGGCCCCAGAAAAAGAAATCCATGTATGTCATATCTGGCGAACGCGGCGCCCAAGTTAGTCCGTTTCGCCCAATCCATCTATTCGGTAATGCATTATTTAGGTGCCTTCGCACTGCTAAATTGTAATGGGGTAGAGCGCCATCCTGAAGAGGGCACATGTTTATCCTGGTTTGCAGCGGAACATTTTCAATAACTCTGGAAGCAATGGTCTTGAGAAGTTTAGTTGACGAACATTCTGTGTTCGAAGGTGTACTGATTTTCACTTTCTTCCACTCATCTTGGGGACAATTTGAAGGCATTGAGACTAACAATCAGCGTCATAAGGTGTACCGAGTTTCAAAGAAGTTTCAGTCAGAAATAATACAAATTCGGTTTTGCAACTTTAAACGTCCTTCATACAGTCCAGGTTTACCACCTTGCGACTTTCATCTTGGCCCTTGATCTTTTATCTTGGACCCCAGAGAGTACTTGAGGGCACAGTTTTCTGGAGACGTCAACCTCCGAAACGTTATTAGGCTGACGGGATTGAAACGCTCCGAATCCGCCGTTACTCCAGTAAAAGCCATTGAAAAAAATGACTACTAATAGTCATAATTACTGACTCAAAGTGTCATCTTTAAACACCATATGAAACAAAGTCATACTCATACATGATAGCATTTCGCGGTTCATCTGTTGCTTAGCTGCATTGTTCATGATAGATTGCGCTGCATTTTAAGGACTTTTTAAGGTTTCGAGGAAGGTGATGGTGTTATTAACTGCTCCTTTTTATTTCAAGAGTAAATCTGCTTCTTAGTCCCATTCCGAAAGCATGCCCAGACGGATACTAATCGGGTAATTGAAGCATTTCTTCTAAGGGTGAAAACAGGGGTTTGCTTGCGGGTTGTAGAACGCTATTTGAGGCTTGAGCTGCACTGTTCCTGACATGTTTTATTTGTGATTGTTCTATTCAGGTTGAAGCAGAATATGTCCCGTTCGCTGAGCGTGCAGAAAGGCGACGAAATGGACACTGAGTGTCTGTTGAAGAGACGGTCGTCAAACATGTCGACCTCGCCTCCTAAATCTCCGCTTATTCCTTAGTGGTAATATTTTTGATTATCGCAAATAATTGTGATTACTTTGCCGTGCCTTATATGGAGAATCTCGTCGAGTAATGATTACTAGCAATTATGGAATGCCTGTTATAGTATTTCTAGTGTATAGCTTTAGTATTACTTCATTTGGACTTAAAAATAGGTGGGTTACAAAGTTTTCGAATTCGAAGTTTTCGTAGTCAATAGCGTTTAATCTTAATTTTTCGTATTGATTTAAGGCAATGTGATAATACGTGGTATTTTTCAAAATAAACCTAATCATTTTATACTCAAGTAAGTAGGTAGACGTATGTTTCTATCGATGCAGGGATGCTGAAGCTTTAAGGATTAATAATTAGTGTAAGTTCATCTAAGCCAAGCAATATTTGATATTTTGTAAATATCTACTAGCTTAAAGTTAAAAGCCCATGTAAGATCTGAAAATAATAGTTTTTGTAGAATTGTGTTTTGTTTTTTTGAAAAAAATCCTATAGTAGAGGAATCGTTAATTTATCGGATTCTTCTCTAAACGAAGGTCGGTTAAACGTGAAATAAGCGTAATAAAAGATACCACTGCCATCCCCAATATGACGTCCGCACGACGTAAGTTTGTCTCATCTAGATGACGTGAGCTAAATGACTAAAAACCACGTAATAGCCACGTCATTATCACGTGTCAAATACGTCAATAATGGCCAGCAGTACCGTCGTATTTAACGTGAGATTCAGCTATCTTTGGTTAATTTATGTGGCGCCTTCGGCGTTGCGCCGGACTGTATTTGACGATTTTTTTCCTTTCCCTTTTCACTTTGTTTCGTTTTTTTTTCAAGAGTAAAAGCGGACATGACACGACACACGAGTTGTGTAATGTTTCTAGTCAAATTATTTTCTTTCTATTTTACTTACTATTTAGATATTTTTGCATCTCTTTGGAAATAGTGAATTTCTGATCAAACCTAATGGATGAAGGAAACATTTATAAATTAGTTCGATAGCCAATGAGCCTTTTCAATAAAAGGTCATTAGAACTTTCACCTGCTTCGAAGAAATGACGTTCAGACGCTCAGACGTTCAGAACGCGAAAGGGGGCGAAACTCTAGTCCGAGCTTCGATTTTTTAGTTCCAGAATCAAGTAGGTTACAGTAATAGGTTGATGACCGGAGCGAAATCATAGAACTAATAATTATTAATAATATTTAAGCCAGCTTTTTCTAATGTTTCAATCAATTGTAAACGTGATTTGAATGACGTTACACGGTCGTCTTTATAATAACGTTATTTTGCTTGCTTCATTCACGTAGATTAGACGTCAAGTGGATTATCATCGCAAAATGTGATAAAAAATTGACGTCGATTGAACGACTAATCATATTTGATGCTGCCAATGTTGTTAAAATTTTTGAGAGAATAAAAAGGGCGCATTTTCCTTTGTTTTCTCTGTTAATTGGTTCATGAGGGATAGAATAAAACTGAATAATTGTTGATTTATACTTTATTGTTTCGCTCCTTTATTACTGAAAATATTTGAAAAAATTAAACATTTTTAATCATTTGTAGAGTATAAGCCACATAAGCAGAAAAACACACAGGGTGTCTCAAGAAAGTTTCAAATTACACTTGATTTTTTTTTAAAGAGCACCTTGATAGTATACTACATAAGTCTTCTCTTAATAGTTCTTGAAATAATGCAATACATTAGTTTTTAATTTGAAAAAAAATTAAGAGGATTTGGATTATTTGTAAGGTCGAGATCCAAAAAATACGTAAAACAAACCCAACATTTTCCACGCAACCACGGAAGAACTTGACGGTTTGAAGTGGTCGCAGTTGCATTTCACGGTTGTTTGACTTGATGGAGAGACGTTCACTGAAATTAAATTCGCGAGTTTAAAAATCGAAACGCCCCCTGGTGGCTGAAATTATAACAACAAGTTAAGTAGTAATTTGTTTTGCTGACATTGGTGTTTACATCTGATTGTGATTTGTTTTGTTCTAATCAACTTTTGCAACCATTTAACCAAATAGAAACAGATCGAAAATTGTGTAAGTGTTGTTTTATGTTATAAATGTCATCAACTCCAATAAATAAACATGTCTAACAAGTCTCAACTGTCACTCGACAACGAGTAATTTAACGTTTCGCAGCGTCGGTAGTTGAACTCCCGAATTGAGTTCAAACGATAATAGACAGTTTACAGACAGTTATTGGAAAAATGTATGACACTTTTGACAGTTCTGAAGTATTAGTGACATTTCGTGGCTTATTGACTTAAAGTAGCCTCAGTTTCAATTCACGGTTTTTTAACTTGGTGGAGTGACGCTCACTGAATTTGTATTCAGTTAAAACGATAGAAACAGTTTACAAAAAATTATCTGAGTATTGGGGAGTGACAGACGATAACTAATTAAAACGATAAAAATTTAATTCAGTTAAAACGACACTTATTTGACAATTCTGATGCTTGATCGATGCTCGAAGAATTATATAATATTTGACAACGTTTTAAGAGGTTTGATATAAATTGAGTTTTAATTTTTGCAAGCAAGGGAAAACAGGTTCAGACAACAATTGACCCAATTTAGGAGTTGGCGCAATGCTGCGCAAATGGCTTGGTGCTCCAACCCAACGCACCGGCGCAGGAACTCAGTTCCGTTGCTGGGAAAATGTTGATCACTTTTTTAGTTGTTCTTAGATTTATTTTAAGGGCTATTTATTAATAAAATTTTTAAAATTTCTTCAAAACTTTAGAATTTTTCAGTTTTAACCAAGTTACCCTTTCTTCTAAATGCTCAATTTTCTAAAGTTTCACTTAAAAATTCTGACAAACTTAAGGTATTTTCCGTAAAAAATTATAAAATAGATTTCGTATCCTTGGCTGCTTTGTAAAAAGTTTTCAAATCCCTTGCCGGCGTCGAATTTAGAACAAAAATCAAATAATTTTCTATCAAAAAACGAATAGCTTAAGCGTCAGTTTATAACAGATTATTTGGAAATCTTCTCACCTCCATTCTGCTGAAGACTGTAGAGTTTGTTAAAGAAATGTGGTTTTTTAGTTTAGACTGATTTTTTTTGCTTTTCTTTCTACTTAAAAACGCTCTATTTTGAAGAGTTTCATTTAAAAATACTGACGATATGGAGGTCTTTTAGGCGAAAAATTACAAGATAAATTTATAGATTTGTAAAAATTTTACAAAAACGTGTAATGTGAGTTACGTAAGCAACATAGAGTCCAAAGAAAGTCGACGAGTTTTCTTGCAAAATCAATCTCTTAATTTTTAGGCATAAAAGATTCAGTTTGCCAGTACTTTACAGTAAAACGCTAGGAAAAACGCGGTTTTTCTGTTTAGAGACGGAGTTGACCTAAAAGTGAAGAAACCCTCAGTTTCCAAGAGTTTTCCAAATGAATCATTACAAACTTTCACTTTTTCTGTTCGAGAAAATATTTTTGGAAAAAAACCAAGAAAAAATGATGAGGCTTTTGTCTAAAATTGGAAGCTGCAAAAGGTTTTGCAAAGCGGTTAAGGAGGCGAGTGTTCAGTCACACAGAAAATACCTGAAAATGGTCAGTAATTTAATTAAAAAACATGCGATTTTTGCGTAAAAAGAATTGCTTAATGGAAACTGGTAAATCTAGAATAACCTGAAAATCTTCAGAGCGATGAGAGGGGCGAATTTTCCAAATAATTTTTTGTAAGCTTTTGCTCTCTGGTCGTTTTTTCAAGATAATATTAATTACTTTCGGTAAATAATAGAATAAAATTATTTGATTTTTGTGCCAAATTCGAAGCTGAAAAGGATTTTCTAAAGTTCCCTGCAAACCGATGAATGAGGCGAATTTTCTAGTAAAATTAATTTTATAATTTTTCGCAAAAAGACGCCATTACTGTCAAAGAAGAAAATCATAAAAAAAATTACATTTATGATTAAACACTTTTAGTTTTGTTATCCGTTTTGGAGAAAACCTTAATGAAGTTCGGGGAAAAACGGGAGAAACTTATTTTCGCTTTTGTCCCGAATTCGACGTTGAACAAAGTTTTTGTAAAATTTCTACAAAGCTATTATCGATTTGTCTTGCAATTTTTCACGGTACAGACCTTCAGATCGTCAATATTTTTAAGTGAAACCACAAAATAGAGCGTTTTGGTGTGGAAAGTAAAGCAAAAAAAATCAGTCAAAACTAAAAAACCAAATTTTTTTAACAAGCTCTACAGTCTTCAGAGGAATAGAGGTGACGAGTTTTCCAAATAATTTATTTGCAACTTTTGCTTATACTGTTCGTTTTTTGACAGAAAATGAATTGATGTGTGTCTAAATTCGAAGCTGGAAAGAGATTTCAAACCTTTTTACAAAGCGACGAACGAGGCGAATGTTCTAATAAAATTTATTTCATAATTTTTGGCGGAAAATTCTTTAAGATTAACTTTAAAAAATCGAGCGATTAGCAGACAGAGTAACTTTGTCAAAACTGAAAAATTCTGAAATTTGGAGAAACTGCAAATATTATTAATAAATGGTCCTTGAATAAATCAAAAAACAATTTAAAAAAAGTGCAACATTTTCCCAGCAACGGAACTGAGTTACTGCGCCGGTGCGTTGGGTTGGCGCACCATCCATTTGCGTAGCACTGCGTCAACTCCTAAAAATTCACTGAGTTACCCAGGCCTATTTTGAATGTTTCATTGTGTGAAAATCACAAACGGTTCTCCATATATGGAAAATACATGGAACTAGGCTGCACTGGGTATCTAACCCTAAAGCGAAAACTATCTCGTTCCATGCTCCGGACCGATTGGCCCTTTTTTCTTGGACGTTATACACTTTCTATTGTCCTTGGAACCTCTGCGAATTTTCTCCACTGCCGCCCTGTGTCAGTGCTGCCAAGCGCGTGGCGCTCGATCTAGTTCTTCAGAGTTGGAAAAGAAGAATTCGATCAAATTGAAAATGGGGCCCCTGGAGTAGTAGTTTTTGTATCGGCCCACGAAGTTTTGAAGGTACGAGTATCGCTTGTAGTGCATCATCTCGTTGGTGGTGATGTTCATGCAGGCGTATAACAGCTGCGAAATATAACTATTGTTGAAAGAACAGAAAAATGCCTAGTGAGAACACTCACGATTGTGCATGTGATCATCCAGCAGAGAGTGGCAAACATGGCAAAAAGTACTCCTTCCAACAGGATGACTAAGGACAGTAGGCCGTGCTGTTCATGATGAAAGCAGTAGCTTGCAAAGTAACATGCATAGGACCAATTAATGGCCAAGCTCAACTGAAAGACAAAGAACCAAACGCGGTTCCGCAACCCGACGCAGTTGTAGATTAAATTGCAGTGATGGTCATACATGTAGACGCATCGATTGCAAATCCTGCAATGTTTTGCTCTGGGTGGCCTTATCGTTCTGCACGTGAAGCACAGTTCATTCGCCACGCTGTTGATCACTGACCCTGACGAATAGCGTTGATGGGAAAGTGACTGGATGACCTGTAAATATGTGTCAGTGTTCATCGGAGCGTAGCCAGGGTTCTTGCGATTGGCGACTATCCAGCTGATCCACAGTACGATGTTCCAGTAAATGAAGCTGTAGTTCGAGCCTCGGGCAACGTTCCAGGTCAACGGCAGTACCTGGAAGAGAGTTTTTTGTTGGTTTGTGAAGTGATAACTTCTTATGGCACGGTGCATAGATAAAGACAAGTGCGCAGTTTTCTCTCGTACGCACACCGCCGCCCGCAAAATTTAACGTTCCATTGGGGCCGTCGCGTGCATGTGATAGTGTGTAATCTGTGGACCGGTCATCCTTTGGATGCGTTTTCATCATCAATGCATGCATTTCAATAATTCGTACGAATTTGCACAAACCATAAAAAATTACTAAAAAACGGAAAATCACGGGTGGTGTGTCGACACTACCTATCTTAGAAAATCGATTGCATTCTCATAAGGCAGTTTTGAGCGCAAGTGTACCAGATTGAAGAGTTTCGACAGTATTAAATATAATGCACGTATCAATTCTTCAGGTTTCTGCAATGAACCAAGTGCATATCTTTCTGTACTAGTTTGTGCGAGCCCCGTTATTCAAAAACAAAATCGTCGCCCTGAAGAAAAAAATAGTAATTTCTGAGAGATTTATTACTTTTATGAAATAAGAGTGTGTGAAAAATCTGGGATCATTGATGTTCCAGTATGCTTAAACATTTTTTGTTCAATTTACGAAATAACAATAGGGAAGATTCAGACAATTTCAACATTTTTCGAGACAAAAATACCTACAAAATGTCAACTAAATTAAAATGCGGTCATTTCTTTACTCAAAAAACCGTCGATTTTAGCGTTTTTTTAAATTTTCTAAAATTTATTTAGTTTTGCGCTTCTAAAACATCGTTTACTAACTTTTCTTGAAGGTCTTTGTAAACTTTATAAGTGGTATATATTTTAGATTAAAATATTCATTCATTCATATTCATAAACTTTTTGTTCATTCCTATTTGTTATGTAAAAAATGCTCTTGCCTGCTTCTAAATAAGTTTTCCTTGAGACGTCGTAGATACTTCTCTGAGGCTGTATTTTCCTCGAAAAAACAGAAACTAAACTACGACGTATAATAAACGAAAAGTTGATTACTGAAGGGTAAATTGTCTAAACATTAAGTAGAAAATCAGGAATTTTTCATATTAAGGGTTAAAGGGTAAATTATTTTCATTTAAATTCAGGTAAATTTCAAATTTTTGAATTTGTTATGAGCCATAATTAAACGCTTGAAATTTGCATAAAAATCATAGCAATTAACTAGTCGATGTGGAAATTTTCTCTCAAAATAATTTGCCTTTTAAATTTTGTAATAATATATGTCTGCCATTTAAAATTAGCAAGTTGATACCTGCTTCCATATTGATGGGATCCTGAGATTGAGAGAGAAATGGAGGGAAATATAAAACTGTGTAACATTTACTTATCTCAAAAAACAAAGAATGCCATCCAAAATGATAAGAGCACCCAATCAAAGGTAAGAAGAATGATTAGTGACAGAAAAGTATCTAAACGGAAGCAAAGTCCGAAACGAGTGGAAAAGATCATATAAATTTGCAATTCACAAAAAAGGAATATTATAGGCATATTTGTGACTAGTACGCTCAGCAAAATTTACGGCAAAATAATAAGAAATTAAATGGAAAATGCGAGAGAAGACATGGAGGCAGAAGAACAGGCCCGGATTCAGGGCAGATACATCCACTGTAGATCATCTGTTCTGTATAACCCAAGTTATCGAAAAGAAAATGTCATATGGACAAGAGTTGCATTTACTACACCCCCTTGACAACTCAATGGGATAGCCTTGACCACAAAATTAGTTCGGTAAACAAATGCAAGAGGCGCGTTGTTGGCGGGAAGAAAAATGAAACTCGCCATGTGGCTGTCGTTAATCATCACTGTAATCAGCAGCACGTCTTTATGTATGATCAGCAGTTACCATATAACAAGAATTCTGCTGCATTGCAATTTACTGCTTGCAGAACACGTGTTGGACTCGATTTTGCTAGTGATCTTGTGATTGTTTCATAGTTTGTTGTTCATACTATAAGTTGTGCTAAAAAATATAGATAATTAGAGGAAAAGATACCACAGACTTATTTATCTATTGCTTCAGATCATGCCTTGACTTTATTATAAAGTGTGCATTTTTGTCGTGCGAAAATCGTAACGGGAATCCGGATGTGAGTTTCCACATGTTTCCTCATGGTGCGATTTTGTTTCAACACTGGATGGACGTTGTGAATAATCCAGCATTGTCTAAATTAGCTCATGCTACTGTTAGAAGGTGTTATTCGGTATGCAATAACCATGTTATAGTATCTCAATTTCAAACTCCCGAAAGGAAGACGCT